CCCGACTTCATTTCCTTGAATGTGGCCATCGAGGCAACACCTCGGCAAGGAGGTGTGGGACCTCGGCCTAGACCTGGTAGTTCATAAAATTAAATTAATAAGGATCAGTATAATTTTTCAATTTATAAAAAAAAAATTATAATAAATATAAATCTCAAGAATGCAAGACTTGTTTTGAGAAGTGCATTCAATGGACTTTGCCATGTGTTTGTAGGACTTGGTTTTGCCTTGACCCCGACGTTTGAAGAATTAGGTGAGTGGTATTTTTAATAAAGTTATGTTATTAAATTTTGATAAAGTTTTGCCTTGCTTGTTTTGGAAAAGTATTTGTTAAGCATGAATGACTATCCCTATTTAGTGTATCAAGTATTTGCTTTGGTTCTGACAATCTTTGAAAGTCCGTACGTGCTAGGGGACTATAAGCATTTGTAGCACAACCTTTGAAAGTCCGTACGTGCTAGGGGACTATAAGCATTTGTAGCACAATCTTTGAAAGTCCGTACGTGCTAGGGGACTATAAGCATTTGTAGCACAGCCTTTGTTAATGTTATCCCTTGGAACTTGAAAGATTTGTTAGATAAACTTGATTTGATAAAGATTTCGGATATCATTCATGTAAACCCCTTTATTATTTATACCATTCACTGAGTATCCAAGCTCACCCCTCTCTATATATATATGTAGGTGACGAGCAGGACAGCGGTGACGCCTAGATGTATTTGCCACTTGTTTTGGATTTTGCACTTTTGCAGTATCTTGAAGATTATGCTTCTTGGTTGTATTTCATTGTATTTTGTATTTGATGGCTGAGAAGTCTTTTGGTCAAGATGTATTTTTGTACTTCATTTTGTTGTATTAAAGCTATGTAGATGTATGCCATTCCATTTAACTTATGCACTGCTCTTATGGACTAATTAGATTTGTATATATATACATTGTTTCCGCACATGTTAGCCCCATAAGTAATACTCTGATTGTGTATGAATCTTGAAAGTTGGCCTTCGGTAATCTCGGATTACTGGCCATCACGGCACCATTCTACTAGGGGCGGAATGGGGTCGTGACAATGTTAGAGATACTCTTCCAACCAAAATCATGACTCGTTGGCGTAAAAAAAACAAGGACTCAAATGTCCATTCGTCAAGAATCAAAAATCAAGAACCAAGAACCATCATGTTCTACCCCATCCAGGTCTAACATCTCGACAGAGATCACACTACTAGCAGAGATCACGAATTGCCAGTTCAAGAACATCAAGATCCTAGTATCAACTCATTAAGAACCAAGAACAAACAAATTTTGTCCCATCCAAATTGAACATATCAACTGAGATCAGTATCTCAACTAAGATCAACATCTCAACCAAGATCAACATCTCAACTGAAATCATCATCTCAACCGAGACCATCATCCCAACCAAGATCGTCATCTCAACCGAGATCGCACTTCTCAACATAGATCATCATCTCTATCGACATCAATATCTCAACTGAGATCGCACTTCTCAATTAAGATCATCACCTCAACCGAGATCATCATCTCAACTGAGATTAACATCTCAACCGAAATCCTTCTCTACCGAGATCATCATCTCCACTAAGATCAACATCTCAACCGAGATCGCACTTCTTAAGCGAGATCACACTTCTCAATTGAGATCACCATCTCAACCGAGATCGCATTACTAGCCGAGGTAATTCATCTGGGATCTACTCACCTAGGTCGAGCTCTTCCATCTAGGATCTTCTCATTTAGGCCGAACTTTTGTCTTCTCAGACCTACTCATCTAGGCCAAGATCTTGTCTTCTGGGATTTGGGATTTGCTCACTTAGATTGAGCTCTTGTCTTCTCGAACCTACTTATCTAGGCTGAGATCTTGTCTTCTAGAATCTGGGATCTACTCACTTAAGCTAAGCTCTTGTCTTCTCAAACCTACTCATCTAGGTTAAGATCTTGTCTTCTAGGATCTGGGATTTGCTCATATGGGTTGAGCTCTTGTCTTCTCGGACTTAATCATCTAGGCCGAGATCTTGTCTTCTGGGATCTAGGATCTGCTCACATAGGTTGAGCTCTTGTCTTCTCGGACCTACTCACATAGGCTGAGATCTTGTCTTCTAAGATATGAGATCTGCTCACGTAGGTTGAGCTATTGGCTTCTCGAACATATTCATCTAGGCCGAGATCTTGTCTTCTAGGATCTGGGATGTGGGATGTGCTCACTTAGGCTGAGCTCTTATATCTGGGATCTGCTCCACCTAGGCCATACTCTTCCATCTTGGATTTGCTCTACCTAGGCCATGCTTTGCCATCTTGGATCTGCTCCACCTAGGCCTTGCTCTTCTATCTTGGATCTACTCCACCTAAGCCATGCTCTTCCATCTTGGAACTGCTTCACCTAAGGTAAGGTCATTTATCTTGGATCTATTTGCCTAGGGTGATGTCTTCTCTACTAGATGGTTGTCTTCTTCTCCTCGAGAGCGTTCATGCCCCCTTATCTTTGCATTCATCGTTCTGGAAAGGTCTTTATTCCGTCAACGTTGGCGTATTCTACATCTTCGCTGACCTCGTCGTCGTTGACATGTTGATCTTGCACGATGATGGCAATCTATTCCTACTAAGTTCCCACAGACGACGCCAAATTGTGGGTGTTAATTGACCACACAACTAAACAGGGAACTTAGCTAGAGAGCACGCAGCATAATAGATTAAGCTAACCATTTACCAACAAGAAGATGAAAATACCGCGGTAGTTCATCCACCTGAGGACACTCCGACGATCAAGTCAATCAACTTGTCTCTCAAAGATATTAAACAAGTACTAAACTTACAAAATAAAGCGTCTCAAATAAAATCATACCTTAGACCCACGGGGGTGCCTCACTTTTATAGTGATCAATGCCCAGCTTCCCCTAGAAGTCTTACTATGTCTATCACAACTCACACTATTCAGATTAAGATGAACTTCCTCAAGTGTCCCATATTTATCCAAATAGGTAGCTTGATGTCATCTAGGACTCTTGTCCTCTATCCGAATATTTCAGATTCCGGCATAACCTCACCATATCTCGGCACCATGGTCCGCCTACGTAGCACCTCGGGTACGTGAACTACCCAAAAAATATGTCTACACACTTTCTTTTGTAGCACTTCCAGAGTCATTAACAATCAACCATGGTTTTACCACTAGCAACGCAATGTGTGATTGCATAATTCCACCACCAAAAAGCACAAAATGTGACTAGATTTGGTTTGATTTGAAATTAGATTTAGTAATCAATACCCATGCCCCTAATCACCACATGAGAAGCAAAAATTTTTGTGAAATCATTTAACAACTCTTGATTGAACTCTTATTACCCATGAAAACCCCATAAATATTGAAACAATTGAAGGTATGTGAAAGGGAAAAGGGAAAAGATATGTGAAATTAGGTAAAATGTAAGTATATTTTATTCATATTTCACCTACATTTTCTATTTCTTTTTTCAAATTCCTACTCAAATCTCCCAACCAAATGTAGCATAAGATCCATCTAAAATCTTCCCAGATTTGGTTTAAGCCCAAATCTATGTGCGATGGTGGAGGTAACAGTGTGATGGGAGGTGCGATGGAAGTGAAAGTATGGTCGATTAGTTGCAGTAGATGTAGATGGGAGGTTCGATGGAGATGGAAGTATGGTTGATTAGTTGTAGCAGATGTAAAAAAGGAGGAGGAGACAGTGGCAATGACTATTGTAGTGTGGTGTTGTGTAATGAAGGTGTTAGTAAATGAGGCGAAGGTAGAAGCAGAGACTTTGGTTGTTTTGGGATGCCATGAGGTGGAGGTGGAGGTGGAGAGTAGCTGACAGTTGTGATGGGGTACTATAGATGCGAATAATTGAGAGAGAAAGAGAGAGAGATAGAGAGAGAAGGTTGATGGGTGTGATCAAGTATGGTAATGAGCATGGTAGAATTGATATTGTGTGGCTTTGATGAAGTATATTGTTAATATGGTGAGATTTAGATTTGGTGTGGCCAAATATAAGCTAGAATTTACATTAGGGGTGAAAGAACAACGGAGGTAGTGCCATGTACATATTAATTTTTTTTTTCCCTCCGGTTAAACAAAGGCTCTGTTCGGCAAGTGGGTTTTGGCCTATTTTTTGGCTAAAATTTACAAAAAGACAAAATAGACTAAAATAGCATGTCACATCAAACCTATAATTATTTTACTTTTTCTCTTATAAACATTACATTCAACTACAAAAAAAAATTCAATCATCTTCTCAAATACAAAAATTTTAACCTGCTAAAATAGTCAAAAACTAAAATAACCTACTAAAATAGCAACTTCCCAAACACCCATAAAGTGACATACGAAAAGTGTAAATGGAGACCAATTTAAAAATATATGAAAATATTTAAAATTTAAGATTTGATTTGTTAAATTGTTTAAACCCTAAGATAGCGTTTGGTAGAGTTTTCTAAATATAATTTGATAATAGAGTTATATTTTGAATTTGTGAGTTTTGAAATTATGATTTGAGTGTAAAAAATTTGTTTGGTTATGAGTTTTGAATTAAGTTTGAAATAAATGATGTGACATATGATATTTAATTCAAAAACTTACAACTCATAAGCAAACACATAATTCAAAATCCTATTCAAAGCTTATAAAAAATTTTAAAATAATTTTGAAAATATTTTTTATTTAAAATATAAAAATAACAAGTGTCAAAAAAAAAAAATGAATATTGTTTTGGTCAACCGGCCGGACGTCCGTCCGGGAGGATGACCGGGTAGACGTGTTTCTTGTTTAGAAAAGAGTTTTCAAAAGTAGATGTGGAATTATAATTTAAAAACTCAAAATAAATTCCACACTGAAATCAATAATAAAAATATGTTTAGAGAATTTCTCCAAATAAAGCCTAATTTTATTTTATTTTTTTATAAATTTCTCATAAAATAAAATAAAATAAAGACAATAAAATAAAGACATTCATTACATAACAAGATCTTCTCTGGCTGTCGAAACTTTGACCGTCGTAAGTGCGACGAGCATTGCCCCCCACCACTCCTACTCTCTCCTTCTACTATTTCTTTTTATTATTTATTATTTACTTTAATTCTCAACAGTATATACATATGGAGTCGTAGATTCAAAAAGCTATATATTTGCTTTTCGCAACGGAAAAAAATAATTGTTCACAACGGCTCCAGTTCAACCCATTTTTTCCTGTACGGTTCCAGATTCTTCCGAGGTATCTTCTTTGCTCTCTCTCACTCTCTCTCTCTCTCTGTTCTTTTTTTTTTTTTTTTTTTTTTTTTTTTTTTTTTGATTTTGTGTCTTTCTCTTTTCGTCTCAAAACTTGATTAATTGCTTGTATATCAATGTACGTAGAATCTCTCATTGATGTTCATTTTCAAAACTGATATGGGTCGAGAGTCTCTGATTAGGGTTTTTCAGGGCTTGAATTCTGAACTTGAATTTGCCTTTTCCTTTTCTCATATTTGTGTGTGTGTGTTTGCATATGTGTTGTCTTTCTTTAGATCTATTTGATTTAGAAATGTATTAGCTTATTATGTTACTAATAAAGTGATTTTGTTTGATTAGTGATGAGATTCTCATTCCACTCTTTTAATTGTGGTGCTGGCCATCTTCTTGCTCTATCACTGTTGATTCTTTATTTTTATTTTTATTTTTCAGTTCCTTTTCATTCCCTTTCCTTTTGTATCAATAAAGTTGATTCTGAAATTGTATACAAACAAAAGATTTCTTTTTTTTTTTTTTTCTTTTGGGTCTTGAAAGTTTGGTTTTATGTGACTTGAAGTTGTGGTTGCTTTGATGAAGTTTGTCCAGTGAACGCTCTAGCATTTCAGCAATTTGGGTTTTTGGTTTAATATGAATTTCTGATGAATTTCAGATCTCCCCTTCCGGGGGGGCACACAAAACCCAGTTGGTTGCCTCACAGTTTTTATGTTAAACATTTGCACGATGAGATGTTATGTGCGATAATTGTGTTCTGTATATTCCTATATATTGACTGCAAAGCAATTGCCAACACTGTTGAGTTGTGAAGCTTTTTTGGTCCTTGTGCGGGAACCCTGTACAAGGAAAGCACAGTTCATGGCGGGGATATGTTTGGAGTATTACAAATCATTTGTGTCTGGAAGGCATTTGGGATTTTCAAATGATTGCAATGAAAATTTGTGTAACCATTGGCATTAATAAGATTGAGCAACAATCTTGCAAGTTACCTAGAAAGGACGTGGGAGGGGAAGTGTCATGCATGACAAGCAAAAGAGGCATTTGTTGTTTCTCAAAACGTCTAGAACATTTCAGGAAATAATAATTGTAATTATTTTGCAATGTTCGTATCTTTACCAATTTAGGAACATATGTCATAAAAATGAAATCAGACTTTATAAGGTAAAGGACAGGAAAATCAATGTTAAAGGACAGGAAAAGCAATATAAATTTGTTTTGTAGTGTTCATCATTTGTTTACGATCAATTCATTAGCATGTTAAGGGTGAAATTAGTCTGTGAGACGGCTAGCTAGTTGAGGTGTGGGAGAAAGGTAACTAGAGTACATGGTATTCATTGCATGTTTAGAAAATTCTGTGCATAAATGGTCAAAATTAAGTTTTGCATTCGTAATAAATGTTGATGGAAATTATACAAAAATGTAGTTACAAGCAGCAATGATGGACACTTCCCTACATGTGTCCGACACTCATCCAAACGTGTTCTATTTTTAAAAAAAATTTTAGACCTGGATGCTTGGAGGATGCATGTGGCCATCTCTTAGACACTCATAAAACTAATTATAAGTATGAGCAAAATAATTTAGGATAGCATGATAAAAGAGAAACAATTTAAATTTATAAGAACTAGTGTTATGTAGCATTACTTTATCATCTTTAAATGATATAGTACAGTCATACATATGGTGTACGATAAATATATGAAAGTATACGTTTTGTATGTGTCCTCCATGTGTCATGTTCTGCATATTTTGAAAATCGTCGCCTTGGTTTTTCGTGTCTTGTTTCCGTATTGTATCCATGTGTTGCGTGTCCGTGTTTGTATTTCTTAGATGTTATTTTATTATATTATTATTTTCTTGAATTTGTGGATATTTCCTATTTGCTGCTGCAGATGAATAGTTTTTCCATTTTGTTCTCATCTAATTTACAAATGAGTACTAAACTAATGTCATTTTAATGCAGTGTTTTGTTCTGGAAGGAATTAACTTCATTTTCTGAGTAATTAATTGTACAAACATGGATAAAGCATCGTCTGATTGTCCATACCCAGGATGTTTCTTCTGTGTCTTGAAGGAAGGAAACCCAAGTAAGCGCAGAGGAAGTATACTGAAATTCTTTCGGGAACTTCCTTCACAGGACGATGATGGACAGGTTCTCCCAATTAGCGGCCTTTGGAACACTGCCATGGCACATCCCAATGACCCCGAGTTCATCGAGCTCGGAATATTTGAATGCATGACAGCATTAATTTGGAAGGGCTTAAGGAATCGCCGTTGGCTTTCTCATGACCAAAATATATACATTCCCTATTATGCAGCACATATAATTGGATCCTACACTATGAACATGGAAGAATTTGCTGAGAGTGCAGTACATGCTGGGGTTATCCCACCCTTAGTTGAACTTTTAAGAGGGAGATTAACTTGGGTTGAACAGAGAGTGGCTGTGCGTGCTCTCGGCCATTTGGCTACATATGCCACCACTTTTCTTTCTGTAGCAAGTAATGGTGAGATTCTTGAGCTTTCCATTCAACTAGCGATGAATTCACTTGAAATTGTATACTCTCACTTTTACCAGTATGTTGATAGAAGGCCAAGTTATCATTGTGATCTACTTACGCGTGGAATGGGCGGTGTTGAAATGGAGTCGAGGAAGGCTGAGGAATGGGCTAGTCAGTTGCAATGTTGGTCCCTTCAACTTATTAATTGCTTCGCTTTCAAACCAGAATTTCTCTCTACCATATGCAAACCGGAATTTTTGATAAAACTTCCAGGCATGTGGGGTGGGCTTGTTAATGAAGCCTCACCAGCGGGTATTGGTTTATTACGAACAATTTGTCATCATAAGCTCGGTAGGGGACCCGTGGCTAGCTGTCCTGGTATTATTGAAGCTCTGTGTAATATTGCGTGCTCTTCAGATGATTGGCAATATATGGCTATTGACTGCCTTCTATGGTTGCTCCAAGATCCAATTTCCTGTCATAAGGTACTATTTGTTCAGTTCGATGATGCGTACTGCAGTCATGAGTTTTATTTATTTATTTATTTGTTTTTATATATATTCCTGAAATTTATTACATTGGAATTCTTCGTAATGGGGATAGCTATGAAGCATTGATATTACTAAAAGGGAGTTGAAACCATATCATATCTGTATCGGACATCGATACTCCTCAGATAGTTGTGGATATGTATAAGAGATACTTCCTAAACGTATTACTTGATGTTAATTTTGAGAGGTATTGGATACTTTTCGGATACTCTAAGTCGTGCACCCAAACTATTATGAAATTAAAATTTCAATAATTTGTGCTTAGTATTAGAGTATAATTGTTAGAATAAACACAAGCATAGTTTTTCAATATTTTCTTGTTTCTTACGGAAGATGAAAATAGTGAAATTAAAATAGTACCCAAGTTTTTCAAATTTTATCCTCTGATAAAAAAGGTAAATAGACTATTTGCTCTTAAACTTATATCTAATTCCTAAAGAATGGTTCCTCAATATTCTTCGAGCTCATGTATAATGTAATACTAAAAATTATATATTTTTTCTCATCATGTCCTACCCATACCTGTATCTTATTCATAGTTGTCAAATCGGGATTCGTATCATGAATCGAAATGGCCTTGTACCGAATCGCGAATCGAATCGAATCGTGAATCGTAAAGATTCAGTCACTTTTTCTAAATTACTTAAAAATATATATCTACACATTTAGATGTTAAATATATATCTTATGAATATAAAATATTTAGACTTAAATCAATGAAAATGTTATTTTGAATAATAATCACGTAGTTTAATAGGTAAGAAGTTAACAAAGGTTCCTATGCAAGATCACCATATTACATTTTTCCTTTTTTAGATATTTCTTATCAACCATTCTAAATAAAGATGTAATATCACCATCTTGCCTTTTTTCTTTTTTAAATATTTCTTATCAGCCATTCTTAATAAAGATAGTAACCAAATAGACAAATTATCAATTTCCAAAGTAACAATAATTAACAACAATGTTAATATTTGGACAATAAGCATATATACTTTTCTAAGTAACAGTGAGTAAATAATAAGAAGGAATTATTTAGAATTTTTTATTTTAAAGTCTAAAACATTTTAAAAAGTATAACTAACCTCATGTAATATTCAATTTAATAAAATAGTAATAGATAATTTATAGTGTAATTTTAATCTTAAACATCTTTATAAGATAAATTATGATTTTTTAAAAGAAAAAAAATGAGAAGAAAGGTTAAAAATATGTTGGGTCTGATTGAATCTGATTGGATCCTATTAAAAACTCCATGATCGCTAAAATAACAATAAATCATATGTATATGTTGGTTATTTTGGTATTAAACGCTATTAAAAGTTGTATTATGCCATTTTCACTAAAAAGATGGAGAAAAAAAGAGTCGAAAATTTGTCGGACACAATAATTTCAAAAGTTGCATGAATCGTAAAAAGTGAATCGAATCGTGAATCGATTGTGAATCGTGCGATTCACTAGAGATTCACTTCCAAAATAGACTCACCAATAGATTCGTATCGATTTTACAAAAATTGCGAATCAAATCGTGAATCGTAAGATTCTGATAACAGAGATCTTATTGGTTTAGATTATGGCGAAGATTTTGTTGTGTCGCCATATCCGTATCATATGTTATCTATACCCATGTTTCATAGGTGAATAGGTAATAGGTTCACTTGATTGTTTATTGAAGATAGTGAACCTGCAGATTTGATTGTTTTGCCTGTTTTGATAACTCAAATTTAAAAACATTAAAGCTTTATAGTTGGAGATATCGCGTTAACGTGTAAATCTGATACTTGAATTGTCTGATGTATAGTTTCCTCAGGTGAGGGTATTAGTGGGGCTGTGAAAAAGTATTGAATCACTATGCGAGGCATGCTAATTCTACTGTATCAAGTAGTCAACACTAATTATACGGCTCTCATGGCGTCACTCTCCACTTATGAGTCATGTTTTTTACAATACTAGGGTACACCAAGAGTGTTAATTGAATCCTTCCCAAATTAGTGCTACAGTTTATGTGGGGGATGGATGTGCATATTTTATTGCACCATATGATTTCACAAAATTTTGGTAGACTAATGATCCTTTACAAACTTGTACTTGGTCTCTGAAAGTCGAAGGCGTTGAATATATAAAAATATCAACATAAATGTGTAATTTTTTAAGTGAGTTTTCACATTTATCACTGACTTTAACTACGCCTATGAACGAAGCTAGATTTTGAAACATTTTTTATACATGGGGGACCAAATTAAAACACTTTATACATTGGGGACCAAATTGATATGATGTAAACATTGTGGATCAAATTGACGTGATTTAAACATTGGGACCAAAATGACACAAATCTCATATTTGGGGGACTAAAAATGTAATTAACCTTTTTTAAAATATAGGGAAACTGGAACAATTATACTGTGCCTATTTTTAAAAACTTTAAAAATATAGGGTATTTTTGCAATTATAAAAAATTCTAGTGGTTGGTTTTTGACCATTACAAAAGTACAAGTATTTTTGGATTTGATTTTTAATTGTTATATGTCATGTACTACTACAAATTACAAATATATTTTCTTATGGATGAACCGTAACTGTATCCTTTTTTGTTTTTTTTTTTAAAAAAAACATTTTGTCGTATTAGAATACCCATACCCGTATTTGTACCTGCACCCATGTTTTCTAACTGATATTTGCTTTAGCTAACTTTCCTAGTAATGGAAGGCTCATGGTTGTAATATAAGTTGAATGTATGTATGTACCCAACACCATTAAATACATTTCGACTTAGTTGAGTGCAGCTCATATTTGTCAAAGTCGAGCTGCATAATAAACTTGAGGTTAACATTCATCTGCCTTTCTTACATATTTTTGTCTAGCTAATTGTGGGCATTGAGTGCTATTTTGCTAGTTCAATAATATCCATAGGCCATACTTTCATTTTATAGATGCTCTGGCCATCTCATCTGTTTTGCCCCAGCCCTTTGCATATTATGATGTCATTTCTTTGTAACGATGTTGTCCTCATCCCAGTGTCATCTTGTTGTTATATAGTAGTTATAACCTTTTGCACTAATCGAAATATGGTAACCCCAGCTCTCATACCTTGAAGCACTCAGACAAAGTTCCAACCTTTGCGCGCTTGTTTTGTTATTTTATTTTCTGAGTTACTTCTTGCCATCTCTGTAGGTTTATGAATATTTCTGTATATTCGACTGAGTAATTGATACAAAGAGTACGTCACTTATATAGAATTCTAATCCCTAGCCTATAATCACTACCATTCCAAATTCCTAAAATACAATAATTCCTAAAAATATAGACAATATAGGCAAATATATTCTCACACTTCCGCTCAAACTCAAGGTGTTTTAGCGGAAAACACTAAGAGTTTGTCAAGAAGAAACCGAAACCGAGCAGTGGTGTGAGTCTTGGTAAAGAAGTCAGCAAGTTGCAGAGTCGAAGTGACAAACGGAAGCAAGATAGAGCTAGACTGCAAATATTGGAGGACGAAGTGACAATCAATCTCATTGTGCTTCATCCGTTTATGAAAGACAGTGTTATGGACAATCTGAATAGCACGTCGGTTGTCACAATAGAGAGAGGTCGGAGAAGACTGAGAGACTCCCAATTCAAATAAGAGACTACGAAGCCAGATAATTTCAACAGTAACATGAGCCATAGCACGATACTCAGCTTTGGCAGTAGAATAGGCAACAACAGGTTGTTTCTTGCTTTTCCAAAAAATCAGGGAATCGCCAAGAAACATAAAAAAATCAAAAGTGGACTTGCGATCATTAACATCACTAACCCAATCAGCATCAACATAGGTAGAAAAAGATAAGAGCAAGTCTTGAAAGATAGTATTGCGAAGATAGCAAAGAATTCGAATCAAAGCATCCTAATGTGTAGAGCGAGGAGCAGAAACAAATTGTGACTTGGCTCATGTTACTGTTGAAATTATCTGGCTTCGTAGTCTCTTATTTGAATTGGGAGTCTCTTATTTGAATTGGACAGCATAGGTAAGATCAGGGCGAGTAATTGTCAAATAGACTAAGCAACTCACAAGTTCTCGATATAAAGTAGGATCTTCCAGAGGAACACCATCAATAGTGTTGAGCTTCACATTAAGCTCAATGGGGGTATCAGAAAGCTTAGTGTCAGTAAGACCGGCACGAATCACGATGAATAACCTCGTTGGCGTACTTGGCCTAAGATAGAAAGTAGCCTTTGGGAGAAGAAACTACCTCAATACCAAGAAAATACTGCAATGGGCCCAAATCCTTCATTTTGAAGGTGCAGAAGAGATGTTACTTAACCTTAGAGATAGCAGAAAAGTCAGAACTAATGATGATCATATCATCTACGTACAGTAAGAGGGCAACAAAACTAGTAGAGGTGTGGAGGAGAAACAAGGCAGAGTCGTGGGCACAATGATGAAATCCAAGCTCAGTAACAGCAGTTTGAAAGCGATCATACCAAACACGAGGAGATTGTTTCAAACCATACAAAGCACGTCGAAGTCGACAAACTTGTCCAAAGGAATGCGGAAGGCCAGAGGGGAGGACACATGTAAACCTCCTCAATGAGATAGCCATTAAGAAAAGCATTCTTAACTTTCATTTGATAAAGAGGCCAATGACGAACAGCGGTGACAGATATCAAAGTGTAGATAGTAGTCATCTTAGCGACAAGGGCGAAAGTCTCCTCATAATCAATACCATACTCTTGGGAGAAACCTTTAACAACTGGGCGAGCTTTGTAGCGCTCGAGAGAACTATCAGAAATAGTCTCGACTTTATAGACCTATTTGCAACCAACCAAATTCTTACCAACAAATAAAAGTACCAGCTCCCAAGTAGTAGTTTTCTGTAATGCAGACAGCTCGTCCTCCATAGCTTGAATCTAATTAAGATCTTGATAAGCCTCCTTGTAAGACTGGGGTTTTAAAAAAGAGTGAATAGCAGACAAAAAGATGCAATAGGAAGGAGAAAAACATGTCTTAGCAAAACCAAATTTAACTACCTGTTTACAGTTGCAAAGGGGATGTTGATAATGGGCAAGATCAGAGTCGTTAGAAGTAAGGGGATCAGCAGCAGGGATAGAGACAACCGGTAGAGGGAGCACCTAGCGACGAGAATAGACTAATAATGGAGGAGACGAAGGAAGGAACAAGAGGGGGTAAAGGAGGAGAAGAGGGAATAGACTAATGGGGTTCAGTAGGAAGGCACTCAACATGAGGGGTGGTAGGAGGAGAAGAAGAAGGAATAAGCTCAAGGGGAACAACAGAGATGTACTCACCAGGAGGAACCTCAGAGGGAAATAGATCAATGCGAACCAAATCCTCTTTCAAAACCAGAGCAGTGATAGGAAGAAAATAAAAGTAAGATAAATGTTCAAGAAAGGCAACATGGCGGGAGACGTAAAGGTGACGAGAAACGGGATCGTAATAGCGATAGCCTTTTTGAGTAAGACTGTAACCCAAAAAGACACACATGACAGATTGGGCACTAAGTTTGGTCCTATCCTTTTGGAGAAGTAGTACAAAACAAGCAAATCTAAAAACACGAAGGAGAGAATAATTGAGAAGTTGAGAAAACAAAGCCTCATAAAGAGACTGACCAGAGAGAAGTGGAGTAGGCATACAGTTGAGAAGAAAAGCAATAGTAAGAACTGTTTCACCCCAAAACGGGCCGGAACAGAGGCAGAAAGAAGAAGAGACCTAGTAGTTTCAAGGAGATAATAGTGTTTACACTCAACTCGACCATTTTGAACGGGCGTATCAGTACAAGACGTTTGGTGAATGGTACCCATGGTGGCCAAATACTCATAGAACTCAGTTTTAAAATATTCCCTACCCAAGTCAAAACGTAGCAATTTAATAGTAGTCTCAAACTGTGTAGTGACTATAGACTAAAAAGCACGATATATCTAGTAGAAGTCAGATTTATGAGTCATAAGGTAAACCCAAGTATAGCGAGTGCAATCATCCATAAAAGAAATATAGTAAGCAAAAGCCCCTTTTAGTGAGAACAAGAAAAGATCCCCAAACATCAGTATGCACGAGAAAATCGGGTAACAAAAATAGAAATTCTTTTATTAAATGGTAAAGCTGTCATTTTGGCAAGTTTACACCCCCAACTTTCAACAATTTGACGAGGAGAAATTTTACCTAATAATCCTGACTAAGCTAACGACCGGAAACGGTCAACACACAAATGACCTAATCTAGAATGCCATAAATAAAAAAGGCTCGACTGAGAATCTAACTGAAAGGATGAAAAACCAACTAGAGAGGGGGACAGAGGAAGGTGCAAACTTTCCACCACATAGAGATCGCCAACCAACTCTACAACCGGTCCCAATCTACTTCTTGAACTGTCGATCCTGCACATAACAGACAGAAAAAGAAAAGATAACATCATAACTAGAAGCATCAAGTTGACTAATAAAGAGTAAACTAACAAATAACTGAGGAACATAAAGGATAAATGGTATAGTGACAGTAAACATAGTAGATGGTAGAACATACCTAACAGATAGGACAAACGTACCAAATCCATTGGCAGTGTTAACAGTAATAGTTATGGAGTAAGGAGAGATGGGGAGTTATATGATGAAAAGTACCACAGTAAAAAATCCAAACTGAATGAGAAATACTTGAAAAAGAACCAAGTAAACCTGAATGAAGAGAGGTGATGGCGGAAGCAAATGAGAATGGTTAGGCAGTAGACAAGATATGCTGAAGCTGAGCAATCTGAGCACTCAAGGAAGCCAAATCAGGATCTAGAGCCAGAGCAGATGCAGTATAAGCGGCTGGAGGGCTAAAAGGATTCTGAGTAGGAGCTTAAAACTAGGACTAAGACTGCTGAGAAGTCGCACGACCCTTCTTTGGACTTTTATACTTCCAATGGTCGTTCTGATGGCAGAAAACACACTCATCTGAAGCCAAGGACCCTTTCTTAGGTTTGGCGGAGGCCTGAAGAAGTGCGGTCGATAGCAACGGAGGTTTGGTAGGAGCCAAGAAAACAGATGGAGGCAAAGTATGACTAGCCATCTTAAGACAGGTTTCCTCAAAAAGGAGTTCACGAACAATAGCATCCACAGAGGAAAGAGGAGACCAGTGAAGGATGCCACCACGGATAGCCTTATACGGAGAGAAGAGAGCCGTTCAAAATTGCACCAAATGACCCTCTTCCCGAAATTGCAAATAGACATCTAGTACCTTAAGACTAGACGGTTCCATGAGAGCAAGTTAATCCCAAAGTCCCATCATCTCAATGTAGAAATTCTGAATAGACCAATCTCGTTTAGTACCTTAAGACTAGACGGTTCCGTAAGAGCAAGCTGATCCCAAAGTCCTGTCATCTCAATGTAGAAATCCTGAATAGACCAATCTCCTTGACGAGCATTCTAAATAGCTGTTTTCAACTCATAAAGTTTGGCAAAGTTGGACTGCTAATAATAAACCTCCTGTAAATAGTCTCAAACCTCCTTGGCAGTAGTATATTTGGAGAACATCATCCCCATATGCAGCATTATGAAACCAAGTCAAACTTGAGCATTATCACAATTCCAAGTGTCACGGGCAGCCTGATAACCATCCTTTTTTGGATCCGATGGACGAGAAACAAAACCAGAAACATATCTCCATTTTTTTCAACCAAGCAAAAAAAATTTCATAGCAATGGACCAATAAGCATAATTGGCTCCAGTAAGTTTGCAAGTTATAAATTGAATTTTGTCGTCTGACATGGTGACAATATTATGAAAAATTATGAAGGGCCTAAATGAAGAGTATTAGAACGAGTTAGGTCAAAATCATAATAATGAGAACCTAGTTTGGTCAAAACTATAATAACCAGAGTTTTAACCCAATCATCCGCAAATATCAATCAGAGAGAGAACATGAAGCCGAGACGAGAGAGAAGATAGCGAACCAGGAAAGGGCTTGATGTCGCAATGCTAAACCAGAGGGAGAGCAAGCTTGAGCAGGGGAGAAAGATGAAGATGAACCAGAGCAGAGGGTCGCGACTTCAGACCAGAGATCAGAAGGATGTCGCGACTTCAAAGAACCACAGAGAAGGCCTTCACGACACAGGGAGGACATCGGCCAACGAGTTCGAATGAAACCCTAGCTCTGATACCATGTAAGTTTCTGAATATTTCTGTATATTCGATTGAATAATTGACGCAGAGTACATCACTTATAGAAAACTTTAATACCTAAGCCTAAAAAGGAAATACCAATTACACAGAATATTTACATAATCACTACCATTCCAAATTTCTAAAATACAATAATTCCTAAAAATGTAAACAATATAGGCAAATATATTCTCACAATCTCTACCTTCTTGTTGTGGATATAATTAAAAATGAAGGAGTATGAGATTTTACAATTGAAAATGGTACACTTAGACATCGAGGGGCCATTAAACTTTATTGAAATGCAGCTATCAATTCACAGTCCAGAAGTGCTGAGGCAAAATTTTGCGATCCTTGCTTGTTTTAATTGTGTGGGTGATTTCTTTTTTGTCTCCCTTTTCATGGTTTTAATTGAAACAAAAGTGAGGAAGGTTATAGAATAGGGAGTCATCTGGGCCAGCCCATCCCTCGATGAGGCCTAAGGTGAAATCTCAATTAGAGGCTTTCTAATGTTTAAATATTAATTTAAATAATATTTATTAATTTTTTACATTGTGAATTATTTTATGTTAAATTTATATTCTTCTTAATTCTTGTAAACTAAAGTTTTTGCGCTTTATTAATAAATGCACTTGGGACGCATTCACTTGTACCTAGATGTGAGAAAATACGGTTAGAAATAGGATTATATGTAGCATTTTCTTTCTTTTTTTTAGTTGGGCGTTTGAATTTGAAGTTTCGTCTGTTAGTCTCTTAGATAAGAAGGTTTTTTGTTTACTCAAAGATGAATTTTTCTGGGGGCCTTCTTGATAAAGAGGGTTTTCTTCAATCTTTACAATAGAGGAGGGCTTTGCAAAGGGGTTTTTTGCCTGTCATAGATTTTTTTTTTTTTTTTCTGGGCTTTTTTGGGCAAAGGGAGTATCTTTTTGGTTGGGCCTTTATAAAATAAGTTTTTTTTTTTTTAAATAATTATTTTCAATTATTTCCGGTACTCTATCAAAGCCTAAAGCCATTACTTGAATCGCTTAGGCCTGGAGCTGACAGGTTGTCGTTGGAACAAGACTCTGTAATGGTCTCAGGAGGTTGCATGTTATAAACTATCTTTGATTTCATAGTCAGCCGATGACTAATTTATCACTTCATTACTAATAATATATGTTCTGGAACTTGATTTGTTGTGCAGGTAATTGATAAGGCAGTACCTGCACTTGTGGACCTTGCAGAGATCTCAACCTTGGGGGATAACAAAAAGGTTGGGGATTCCATTGTTAATGTTCTTCAGGAATGTATCCAAGGAACAGGACATAACTCTCTCAGTAGCCACACAAAAGAACAGATTGAGGAAATCTTGCATTCTAGACAAAGGTTAAAATGGGAAAAGAACATTCCAAAAGAAGATCTCCATATCAAACAGGCAGCATCACTAGTGGTAAAGCTCGAAGGAAATTCCTTGTTCTCATCTGGAAATATATCTGGAGCAGCATCAAAGTACTCTGAAGCATTGACATTGTGTCCAATGCGATCCAAGAAAGAGAGAGTTGTGTTGTACAGTAATCGAGCTCAGTGTCATCTTTTATTGCAACAACCCTTGGCTGCCATAAGCGATGCTACACGTGCACTTTGTCTTCATAACCCTGTCAATCGTCATGCTAAAAGCCTTTGGAGAAGAGCTCAGGCTTATGACATGCTTGGGTTAGCTAAAGAAAGCTTGTTAGATGCTATTCTTTTCATAAATGAGTGCTCTCAATCAGCCGATCCTGACCTCTCATTGAGGCAAAACAAGGTCCCCGACTATGCTGAGCGTTTAGTCAAGAAGCAGATGCGTGCGGCTTGGTTATTTAGAGAGGCCGCCATTAAACATGGGGGTGTTCACTGTGAAGGCAATGCTGGCAACATCTATGGCCAAGAGACTGATGATTCTGAATGGGAGACGGCAAGTGAAAGTGATATGGGGAATGATGGAAGGGATGAAATGGGCAATGATGATTGTGATTGGAAGAATGATGATGAAAGAATAGACAAGTTTGATAAACCTTCTATAAAAGGTATGGTGACAAAACTTTCTAAATCCTTAGTCCAATTAGTGTAGTTTGTGAATCTGCATCTATTGACAACAATTTTCAATCCTGTCTGTATATAAATTATTTCCAACCTAGGATATTTTCTTGATTGACAATAAACCTTATTGGATGATCAATAAAATTATTTGCCATTCAAGCTGAATTATATAATTACTACAAATATAGTTTTAGATTAGATGCTTTCAATCTACTGGTCATGTTAGATTTTTACACATATTTTTCCTTATCTTTCATGTTGGATGATTCTGTGTATTGCTTAGGATAGCAACAATTGACTATAATGGTCCAAACCTAAGTAGTACTGACACTCCAATATGGGTGTCGTGTCTATGTCTAACACGGTGGGGACACATGTGTCCACGTGTCCAACATGCCATTTTTAAATTATTGTTTTTGTCGTGGGACACGCATATCCTATGTTTGGATACACCTGTGGACATCTTTGTAGGTATTTTTTTTTTTTTTTTTTTTAGAAAGTTGATTTGGAATCAAAGTAAAACATATGGAAATAAAGAGGGAAAAGTAAAAAAATAAATAAATAAAATACACCCACATATACATTGATGCCTCTTATATCTATGTATTCTAAATTAATATTCATATACATAATAAATCTGTATCCTTTCCGTGTCCGTATCTATGTCTATACTTCTTAAGTCCAAATTGTATTATTATTAAGTTATCCTCCCAATTCTAAGAGCTTTTACAGAGAAATTTTATGTTTGTGTATACCCATTAATTCAACTTCTTTTGTTGCATATGTGCTGTCATCCTTGAGTCTTCGCAAGTTGGGAGTAAAACTCTAGTTTGATTTGCAACCTGAGCAGCCATTAAATGCACTGTCAGTGGGTTTCATGCTTTTATTTGTTGTGGTGGGGCAGTTTTTGTTTATGGAGTTATGCTTTTCATTTCTCTTGCAGTTGCATGGGAGTGTTGTTGCAGTCTTGCACCCAGATCCATGTTATGTGCCTATATTATTTTACCTACAGTCTTATTATGGAAGACAGTTTTTGCCATTGGTAGAACACAGTTAGGTCTGGTATTAAGTAGTTCATCCAATAGACGAGACGGAACATGAAAAGAGTGAAATAACCCCATGGGGTTGGCCTAGCGTTAAAGACATAAGGATAAGATCTAAGATCTCGAGTTCGAGTCTCCCAAGGGGTCATTGGAGCCTCCAAGGATTAGTTCTCAATTATCTAGATATTAGGTCCAATTGGGCTAGTCAAGGCGGGAGATACCCTGGATTATCAAAAAAAAAAAGAACAAAAAAAAGCATGAAAAATGATGAAATACTGTATTAGACATTTCCACTTGTCTCTGCATATATTCCTGCTTCTTCTTCTTTCTGTTTTTTTGTTATTTTTTATTATGACGTTATATAATCCGTTCGCTTTGTTTTTTCATCATGCGCTATAGTCTCTTAACTGAATTTTTTTCCACAGATTTCAAATATGAGTTATTGCTCTTTATGGTTCCATTGATTATCTGCTACCGTTCTTTACCCCACTTTTTCTTTAAAATCAGTACCAATGTTGCTCGTTTTTGTTAAAATCCACCAAATTAAAAATTCAGAAAATATTTTTTTTCGAATATACAAAAATTAACATATGTCAATTGCAAAAAAAAAAAATTGCGCCGTTCCGGTCAACCGGTGGGACGACCAGTTAGACCAAATTTAAAAAAAAATTAAAAATTAAAAATTGTTCCTCGGACAGAGTTTTGTGCAGAGTTTTGTAAATGTTGTGAAAATGTGATTTGAGTGTGGTATCCAAACATCGTGCCATTTTGGGAACATCCAAAAACGTGACTGCCAAAAACGTAACAAAATCCCTTTGGGAAGTGCCAAAAACGCAGCCCTAAAATTACAAATTAGGGCCTATGAAAAAAAATAAAAAAATAAATCTCTTATGTTTGGTAAGGGTATTTTGGTCATTTTAATTTGATTTGACACCACAAATAAATATTAAACTAAAAACCAAAAAGCCAGCTTTTTACCAACTTTCCAAATCACTTCCAAAAAAGCCAAAAAGTTTGGTAAAAAGCCAAAAGCCAGCTTTTTACCAACTTCCCCAAAACAACCCTTAGGGTTTTGAAAAGCTAGAGAGAGAGAATGACCCGAAAAAGTGGTTCAAAATGCTAAAATTCAGATTGATAAAAAACACAGTCCACTCGAGCGTGGAACGCCCCGCTCGAGCGTCAGATACAGACTCACGCTCGAGCGTAAAAAGCGCCGCTTGAGCGTCGAATGCACACTTCCAGAAGTTCTGCAGACGATGGTCCCTGCTCGAGCGTCAAAGTGGACACTCGAGCGTCCGATGACCTGCAGGAGAAAAATACTGAGAGTTGAATAATCCCGCTCAAGCGTCAGAATGCCCGTTCGAGCGGAGGAGCAAAAGCAAAAGGCCCGCTCGAGCGTGAAGGCCAAAATCTGGGCATCAACTTTTGGTTTTCAAACACAACCAACCTATTTCAGACCTGCCCAACACAACCCAAGACTCAAATACAAGGAATAAAGGATGGGGATGTGAATAAGACAACAACACATCCATGGAACCAAGTCCGGAATACAATAAACAAAGAAGGGAAAACTGGGATCGCTATAACCTCCCCCCCTTAAAGAATTTCGTCCCCGAAATTAGCTAAATAAAAGTTTTCAAAAGTGTGATTTCTCAATTCTCAACACATTATAACTCAACATTTATCAACTTGACCCAATACCGGTCATCCCATCTCTTTTCAAGAGGCAATTTACAATATATTTTCAATATGCATTATCAACATGCTTTTCTTTGAAATTCAACAATTTCAACACAAGTATTCCACAATTTAATAACACATCCAATGTCGACAATATATTTGCATTTCGAAAACATAATTAACATATGCAATGTTAAAGTAAACTTCCATTTCCGAACCATATTCAATGGCTATAACATCTCCACAATCTAAAACATATATAATGTTTCCAGAATTTATTAACAAAACAAAATTCCCAATACATGGTTAAACATTAACAAACAAGTCCGGGTATTTCTCGCAAACCTCCAACTCACGTTTCCAAGTGGCTTCCTCTACTCCGTGATGTTTCCACAAAACTTTCACCAAGGGTATAGTCTTGCCTCGCAAGACTTGATCTCGCCTATCCAAGACCCGTACTGGTCTCTCCTCATACGAGGCATCCTCGTCTACCTCTAAGTCGGTCCAATCCAATACATGTGACGGATCCGGCTCATATTTCCGAAGCATGCTAACATGAAACATGTCATGCACTCCGAATAACTGCGGCGGTAAAGCTAAACGGTATACAACCTCCCCAATCTGCTCAAGGATCTCAAAGGGGCCAATAAACCGAGGGGACAACTTCCCACTCTTCCCAAACCTCATCAAACCCCGCCTAGGTGATATTTTCAAAAAGACATGATCACCCACCTCAAATGCCAAAGGCCTCCTCCTACGGTCGACATAACTCTTTTGGCGACTCTAGGCTGTAACAAGCCTCCTACGGATAAGCTCAATTTTCTCCGTCGCTTCCCACACCAACTCCGGGCCCAACAAAGGTGCATCACCCACCTCGGCCCAACACTCTGGAGACCTACACGGTCGGCCATACAAGGCCTCAAACGGTGCCATACCAATGCTCGATTGGAAACTATTGTTGTAGGCAAACTCCACTAAGGGCAAGTGCCTCTCCTACGACCCACTAAATTCAAGGACACAGCCTCGAAGCATATCCTCAAGGATCTGAATAGTATGCTCGGTTTTCCTGTCAGTCTGAGGATGACAAGCCGTGCTAAAGGTCAACCTAGTGCCCAAGGCACTCTGTAAACTCTGCCACAACCTAGCAGTAAAACGTGGATCTCTATCTGAGACGATCGACACTGGGACTCCGTGCAACCTCACTATGTCCCGAATATACAAGTCGGCAACCGAGCCTCTCACGCGCATAGAAATAAAGTGCGCTGACTTAGTCAACCAGTATACAACCACCCAGATAGCATCACTACCCCGTTGAGTCCTCGGAAGACCTACAATGAAGTCCATTGTGACATGCTCCCACTTCCACTCGGCAATAGGCAAGGGTTGCAACAAACCCGCTGGCCTCTGATGTTCGACCTTCACTTGCTGACAAGTAAGGCACTTAGACACGAAAACTAGCACATCCTTCTTCATACCCCGCCACCAAAACTGGCGACCCAAATCACGATACATCTTAGTGCCTTCCGGATGCACCGCAAGGTGTGAATGGTGAAACTCTCGGAGTACTTCCTCTCGGCAAGACCCCGGCACAAACAAACAGTCTCAGTACCTCACACTCAAGTCAGAATACACAGTCAGACCCTTCTCAACCTTCCCACTGGAGATCTTCTCTCGGAGGGATTCTACCTCAAGGTCACTCCTCTGTGCCTCTAACACTTGATTCACAAGAACCCACTACACCACTACCATCTCACCTACTCCACTAAACCTAACCCACTACACCACTACCATCTCACCTACTCCACTAAACCTAACCCACTACACCACTACCATCTCACCTACTCCACTAAACCTAACCCACTACACCACTACCATCTCACCTACTCCACTAAACCTAACCCACTACACCACTACCATCTCACCTACTCCACTAAACCTAACCCACTACACCACTACCATCTCACCTACTCCACTAAACCTAACCCACTACACCACTACCATCTCACCTACTCCACTAAACCTAACCCACTACACCACTACCATCTCACCTACTCCACTAAACCTAACCCACTACACCACTACCATCTCACCTACTCCACTAAACCTAACCCACTACACCACTACCATCTCACCTACTCCACTAAACCTAACCCACTACACCACTACCACCTCCACTTCACCTACTCCTTACCTACTACACACTCACCCTCTTCTATATATAGGAATCATGAATCATTGTAATTGATATCAATATAAATCAATCAATAATACAATTCTCTATTTCTCTTTATACATTAAATTTCTACAGTTTTTAATGTGTTCGTTCATAGTTTATTGATGTCCTTAATGTTTTTGGAATTTTGAGTTAACACAGACATGAAGCATGGATATAATGTGCAGCTTGTGGAGGATGAGCCGTGAATTTTGGATGATTGCATATGTCTTTAATGTGCAAGCATGCTCCAACATGGAGGATTTTGATCAATGAACAAAGCAACTATGAATTGTGTGATATTCGGTGGGTTTGGTATCTTTCAGTTCCCAGCAGCCAATATTGTCTTGTTTAGTCTTGCTTGTGGCAAAAGAGTTTTTTCTTGGTTATGTTTAAACTTGTTTTGTATTCCCAATTTTTTCATGTTAAACTAGCTGACAAATAATAGGAGAAAAGAAAAGAAAAGAAAAGATAGAGTTTAGAGGTTGTGAAGTTTTAAATTTTGTTTTTCATTTGAGTGATTCAAGGGGCTTGTGTACATATAAACCTTCCGGGGGGGATTTTGATTGAATGTATGAATGATAATTATGATTTTCTTATATTATTGACCATGTCATTGCAGTGCTGATTGTTGCATAGAAACTAACACATTATCTTGCTCATCGGATGTTGCGGAGAAACTAATAATCTATAGATACTCAACACCTTATCTTGCTCATCGGATATCATTGAGAAATAAAGAGGAAGAAGTGTTATCGAACGATTTCCTGCAATTATTCCCTGTAGGGAATGAGTAAAAGAATCAAGCTACAAGTCTCCGTTTATACGAAATCCACTGGGTTTTTGGTTTTTTCTTTCAGTTTCTTTGCTAGGCAGAGCTAAGTATTTTACTTTGTAGTTATTTAAATACATATGAATTAAGCACTACAACTCTACCTGTCATCCAATCTTTCAAAAACACCTTCCTCCACCTTCTTTTATGCTGTGTTTAGTTGAGAGACTTGAGGAGGGATTCACATACATTTTTCTTTTTCCTTTCCGAATTCCTCCTCAAATCTCCCAATCAAACACAGTATTAGTGGATGAGATGATCTCTTACTAGGCTTGATACTTAAGTTCGAGTCTTATAACAAGTGTAGTTTCCCTTCTCTTATTTTCATCATAAATTCCAAATTAAAATAGCCTTTAGAACAATCTAATGTGACTCTTTTGATTTCTAAAGAAGATAAGTGAGTACAAAATATGTGAAATTCTCACAAGGGGTGGGTTCCCTTGTGAGACTCAACTTACTTTCTGTGCTGCACATTAGATTGTGCAATAAAACATCTGACGGTCTCAATTTAGAGCACTAAATTTGAAACTCTAAAAGCACCACTAATGAGTTAGCAAATGCAAGAAAAAAAAAAAAAAAAATGAGTGAGACTACTAAAAAGAGGAGCGCTAATAGCTCTAAAGTGGTATGAGTTTCACATGATGGGATGTTTTGCTCTTGTGTCTTTTTTTCTTTTTCTTTTTTTTGAATTTTCACATCATTAGTGGTCAATTAGTGCTCCTAATTAGTGGGATGAATCATTGTTGAAAAAAAATATATCAAAGGCCAAACTATCACTGGGATCCACATGATGTCATGTCATTAGTGGTGTGAAGGATTTTTCAAAATCTAATTTCATGTGAGACATTCTGTTTGAAGGAATTTTAAGTTATATGATCAAATTTACAGTTGGATCATCTATTTCACTATATGCTGGCACTAAACAAGAGATTGATGTGCCAAAGCAGCCCAATTGAATGAGGTGTTGTTCCACATTACTCTCTACAGTTGCTTCAAGAGAATGATGTGTCAAAAATCTGTTGAATTAGTTGCTCCACATAATTCTCACTTTTTTTTTTTTTTTGTTCACTTTTTTTTTTGAAAGTCGAATGACTAAAAATCATGTGATTTTTTGTACATTGTAAGTGACAAAAAGACATCACTATATGCTACTGGGATAATGGACATCAATAATATTACATATTTAGAAAAATTACTCAGTAAACACTCGCATACTTTAAATCTATACTATACATCTCAATTTCATGATGAAAAATGTTTGGTAGCTCGAATTTATGTGGTCCGAATGGCTCCAATGTATCAAAACGACATTATTTTGAGACATGCAAGCCATTCGGATTATAAAAATTCGAGCTACCAAGCATTGTTGTTTCATGATCAAGTTTGAAAGTAAAAATTCATAGCACATAGTATTTTTGAATGGCCGTTAGGTAAGGTCAGTATTGACACCTCAGTGTAGAATGGCTGCAAGATTCAAATCTTTTGATGTGCATGAAGAATTAATGGAATGATCACCAAGATGGAGACTATCCATTTTGATTGGACAAAGGAGGCAAGAAATGCAAGAAAGGGAAAAAAGTTTAGAGTAATTTAATACATTTTGTATTCCAAATGACAAATCACAAGTGAGAGTAAGTTAATAAAATGTGTAGCCAATAAAGCTACACATACCCACAAAATAATAAATAAAATATGGTAAAAAAAGATGACAAGTAAATCATTATTATAAAATATCAGACTAATTTTTGACTTCTGCTTCAGCAATGTTTACTGGTCAAAGAAACTTGAACTAATTGTGCCGAACACTGAAAAAATAGTAAGGAACTACAAGCAGCTATTAGTAAGGAACTAATAGTGCTTCTGTTCTTGAATGCAAAGTTCAAGAAGAGTCCTCATTGCTTGTTTCTTCACTACCTTCCCATAGACTCCTCTTCCTAGTTTCTTCATTGCTCTCTCCATCTCAACCATCCCAATACCACCTCCACCACTTCTCTTCAATCCTTCCATCAAGGCCTTTAAAACCCTCTCATCGCTTCCCACCGCTTCCACAACACTATCCACCACCGCCTCCATAGCCGGAATCCGCCTCCCCCACCTCCTCATTGACTTCTCACATCCAAATGCTTCAGAATAAACTGCCCAAAAAGATGCCCTCAAAAAACCTTTTTCATTTCCCCTCACCATCCATCTCCTCATACCTTCCTCCAACCTGTAAACTATGCCACCCACTTCTAGTCCCCTATCAAGACCCATCTCAATCTCTATCATCTCCTGTTTTCCACATATACCCTCCTCAAATTTGCACCTTTTACAATTGCAACTAAAACACCAAGTCTTTGCCATTTCTCTGCGATTTCTCAAAGGCGAAAGCACATCGAAATATGCAAATGTGACCTCTTCACCTGCCTTAATATCTCTAGAAGCGTGAACCATCACATAATCACCAACGTGCACGCGCCTCGCGTTAGGATAACAAGAATGGTTGATGAAAGCGGCAAGTACCCATATCCCAACTCCATAGTAATCACTGTTTTTACCCAATACTTTTGCTGAAATCGCATCTTCAACAAGAGAATTCACATCCAATATGCTTAATATCTTACCCATATCAAGCTTCTCATTTGAAAAGCTACTCTCCTCTGTTTCAGGCCTAAATAGACTTAAATCAGGCACTTCAAGGCCATCTTCGTCTTCACCAGTGGACAACCTACAAATCAAATGATGGGTTTTGTGGCATTTTGTGGCTGATTCAACAACCTTATCAATAAAATTCTTCCACATAACTAATTGTGCATTTTTTCCCAATTCTTCACTGTTTGATTGGGGCAATATACCCCTCTCAGTGGCAATTGCCTTGGTGACAAACAACAAAGTACCAGCATCAATGTTCTTTGTTGCAAATAGGCCACGCCCACCCATCTCAGACCTCTTGATCTCCACAGTACCAATGTACTCTGCGAGTTCCGGAGGCTTTCCACGAAACCCATTTACGATCCAATCAGAGAGATCGAAAGCTCCAGTTCTAGACAAGAACTCGAGTTTCTTGCATTTGTCCAAGTACCCATTAATGGTTTCAGAGTTAAGACTGGCCTGGGGATCAAGAAGAGCTGATTTGAAGCAGTCCAAAGCAGCACTGTACCTATTGAGATTGAGCAAGATCTTACCTTTGCAAAGCAGGGTCTTGAAATGAGCACTGTCAATTTTCAAAGCTTGGTAACAATCTCCCAAAGCATCAGTGAAATGTCGCAAGCGAGACAGCGCTTCGGCTCGGTTGGAGAGAGCCAAACAGAGGGATTTGTGGAGCTTGGAGAGGTGATCTGGGTCAGAGTGGTTGTGGGTGTTTGAGATTTGGTTATGGCAGAGTGAGATGAAGAGAGAATAGGCTTGTACGGACTCGTTCCATTCTTTTCTGAGAAGAAGTTCTGTGGCTTTGGACCTCAGTTGTTGCATCATCCTATCTTCTTCTTCTTCAAGATCTTCCATATCTGGCTGTTTTGATTCTCTCATCATCTTTAATGGTTGGGTGGGTATGACTGTGTCTACTGGTTTTCTCTCATTTTCGATGCTGTTTTCTAGGGAGGTTTAAATGACGGGTATGTAACGGTCATATTTCTTGGCCGTTTTTTATTTACCTTTCCTTTTTTTTTGGGGGTCTTGTTGCAGGCAGTATCTGCAACGGCTATGTTCGGGATTTTTAGTTACTATTAAAATACTCTGTTAAAAATATCAACATGAAAAATGTTAGATTTTCATAATTCCTAAACAACAATGCTAAGTATTTTAATATATCAATAAAATATATTAACTAGACATAGTATTTAGTGGGTTTTACATATGACTTGAGTTTTACGCTCCGTTTGTTTGCGCAATAAACATTTTTTAATGAAAAATGCGCAATAAGCATTTTTTAATGAAAAATATTTTTTATGAAATTTTCTTTTTTAGAAATTGTTTTTTAGAAAAATAATTTTAGTGGGTGGTGAAATGAAGGTGCAGGTGGAGATGGAGGTGGTGGGGCAGCGGCGGTGGTAATAGTGATAGTCAGTGGTAAAGGGAGCATGAGGCCAGGGGTCATGTGCCCCCCGGATTGGATTTTGAAAAATCTTCTATTTTTTTTTTTCAAATATAAAGAAATATTTTAAATAAAAAATTACAAAAATATTATTAAAGTAAAATGTCAATGACATTTTAAAAATTATGAAAATAATAACGGTTGTTTTGATTGAAAATGAAGAAACTATTATAAATAAACCATATTAGCTATGAAAATTTTTGAATGTAACGACGATGTCATTATTAGTGATATGCAAAAATAAGTAATCTCACTATAAAGATGTGAAATTTATTGGATTGTTAGTTACATTTGATATGTGAGGTTCACACTCTATGTGTTTATTTACCATTAGTGGGTGATATCACATACTAATAATTACGTAGTATTACCATTATATTGAATTTTTAATCAAATTTTGTATCAAAAAATAATTTATCATTATATAATTTATTTTAAGACTTATATCCATTTTTTTTTTGTATTGTCCATGATATACTAGTTACAAATAACATTCAGCTTGTTTGTTTCTAGTTTTCAGAAAATTTAACTTTTTTATTTTTCGTATTTTAATGTTTTGAATGAATTTTTTAATATTTTAAGCATTTTTTAAAAAAAATTAGACACACCTAACATAAATACACTTAAAAAGTATAATATTTGTAAAAAAAAATATTTAAAAAATACATTAAATACCAAAAAATACAAAAAAAAATAGTATATTTTTTGTATTTTTGTGTATTTATTAATTTTTTAAAATATTTTTTCACAAATATTTTATTATTTAAATACATCTAAGTAAGGTGCATCTAAAAAAGTAAAAAAATTACTTAAAATTCAAAAAATACTCACTAAAAACAAAAAAAATATGAAAAATAAAAAAACTCAGTTTTCAAAAAACTGAATTCAGAAAACTGAAACCAAGCACACTAATTTTTTTTTTTTTATGTTTCTTAAAATCAATCATAAAAACTTGCGTGAAATATTTTTATAAAAATTATTGTAATTAAAGAGTGTTCCCTCTAATTTAATTTTCTGGCTCCGCCACTGGTGATAGCGATGGTGTGGCAATGACCATGATAATTTTGATAGTAGTGCGGTGACATTGATAAGATTTTGGTTCAAAAAATATTTTTTTCATATTTTAAAAGTGAAAAATATTTTTTGGTTGCATAAATTTGTTTTCTACTAATTATGAAAAATGTTTTCATTGACTTTTATTTTTCATTGTAACAACTACTTAGATATCTTGAATATCTAACATCCTTGGCATTTTCTTTTGTTTATTGACAATCCAAAAGGTTTTTTTTTTATTTTTTTATTTCTTGTAATGGGTTGTTTTAGCGTGATCATATTTTCATTTTGCACTCACTTTAACACGTTTTTATAAACTTCTATCAAATTTTACAATCACACTAAACTGACAATTATGGATGTTAATTAATGACCACCCATTAAACTGTTATTAACATCATTTCAAAATATTTGTTGTTATTTTTGTATCGCTTTTTAATTTTTTATTTGAATCTAAAAAAATTATTTTCCTACTTAACATTTGTCATATTATTGCTGGTAAGGGGAGCTTACATAGATTAAGGCAGAATGAACGAAAATCACTTTTTTATCTTTTATTTTAATCTAAAAAAGTTATTTTCCTATTTAAAATTTGTCATATTATCATTGATAAGTAAGGTTTTAAAAAGTGATCGCAACAGTTACATAACGTTGTTACATAACAATTATGATGGTTATTGCCATCCGTTATGACCGCTATAGCGGTGTGACAAAAATTCACATGTATAATGATTATTTTTGTATTACGTAATAGCCGTAGCGATACCGTAACGGTCCGTTACACACGTGTACATTATTCTGAATAGTTTCATTTCTAAAAACAAAACAAAACAAATGCTTACAAAAAAAAAAAACAAATACTCAAGTGATCCAAACTTAAAGAGAAAATCTTATATATGAATTTTTTTTTTATAATTTTTATTTCATTACATTAGCATGTAAAATAAATATATATATATATATATATATAAACAGTGGTTGTATTTATTTTTATAATCATTTTATTTAATATTTATTGTAAATATTTTTTATTTTGTTACTGTAATATGTTGTCTAAAAAATATCTTTAAAAAAATAAATAAAATCAGTAACTCAAAAATAATTTTTGTTTATGGCACTATTTTTATTTTGACAATCATTTCGTATAATACTTAATTATAAATAATTTTATTTAGTTACTTGTAAAGTATTGCCTAAAAAATAATTTTTCGTTTATAGCATAATTTTTTTATAATAATTGTGAATATTTTTTATTCAGTTAGTTTAGGTATTGGTCAAAAAATAATTTGTAGACATTCAAAATCAATTATTCTTAAAATCATTAACTATTGAAATAAAATGTAAAAAACTCCTTTTATAGTGATTTAAAAATATGAAATATATTAAATTATACTTAAAAACTAATAAAAATTGATCAAAATCAATTTTCAATCCTAATAAATGTGATTCTAAAAATAATAATAATAATATGCATATCGGTAAGTTTTTTTCAAATTGTATGAAACGTTAAAAAAAATCACGGTTCCGGTTACCGCAACTATTATGCTACAACTTTTGCACCCCGTAACTGCAATTGTGCCACCGTTATCACTTTTTGAAACCTTGCAGATAAGGGAAGCTTACATAGATTAAGGCGAAATGAATTTAGAGTAATGCTACAATTATCATCGAGAGATGTTACAGTGTACACCCTAAAAAAGTGCATATGGTATGTCTTTTATAAATTTTTCACTACAAAAAGTTATAACTTTTTTTCATTATAAAATGTCATAACAAAAATTACAAAGTGTCATAACACAGCTTGTTATAACAAAAATCATAAACTGCCATAACATTATCATCTTCCTAACTTTAGGATTCACACCATAAATTCACTTAACTTTACCAAAAAATATCATAACACACATCACAAACAATTATAACTTTTATCACAAAAAATATAATTTTTTTATGACGTGCACCTTTTTAAAAGGTACACGTTGTAGATTTCTACTTACCACATGTACGAGCACGAAATAATCTTCTCGTATAATCTTTTTGATCAAGTTTGCACTCCTCCAAACGTTGTCGCTTTACTTCCTGAAAACACAAACGTGAGCTAGCCGGCGGGGGTGTGCCAGATACCTCTCCGATGCCTAAGTCAGCCAATAGACAATAAGCTCAGTGTATTCGAGAGTAAGAATTGTGATACCTGTACATAGGTCTGTCATGAGCTTTTATAGATTCCACCTGGCACAATCCTAATAGGACTTCAACTTTCTTTATAGAGTTCTCTTAGGAATCACAAAGATAATGCCTATCTTTTTACACCCTCCTCACTGCTTAACCAAGTGAGATGGTCCTACCACGGTCTGGTAGCAAAACAATCGAGCTAACACCACCATGCTTTACGACAGATTTCTTTGAGCTCACCTAGCTCGGTTCTGCCTTGTCCGCTTACAGCTCGATTCTCTTCTCTCTATATCTCAGTTCAGAACACTAAGACCAGTCTTCTGGCAAACAGCTTTGACAAAACTGGCAGGATAAAGGACCGGGCTAAGCAAGCCATCACCACAGCCCATAGTTCGGTCCATTTCCCATTTGGTTCCAGCTTGGCCCATGTACAAACATAAATTACCCTCTCAGTAACAAAAATGATACAATTAAAAAAAAATTATACCAAAATACAATGTGAATATTCACAATGTGCAATTAACATACAATTAACCTTAAAAAACTAAATTTATACCAATGTGAACATTCACACTGTAACATGAAACAAAATTGAAAGAAATAATAAAAATGACTATTTTAATTGTTTAATGGTAACAAAAAATGATCGTTCAAACAAAATGTATAGTAACAAATAACAATGATATGTGAACATTCACATCTTGCAAAATATATAATTATGTCCATATCTATATTTCAACACTTATTTCTCAGACTTTCAAACAATGTGAAATTTGAACATTCACACTAATTGACAAAAAAATAGAAATAATGGCAGCAATAGAATTAGCAATAATAATAATAAAAAACTTTAATCACTCTAAAAACAAAAAAATATCACCTACATCCTCATCTTCATTATCATCTTTATCATTATCACTATCATAAAAAATATATGCAATTTCACCATTCCATCAATCCAAATCAAACCAAACCCACTTTTAAAAAATATGTTTGTAACAAAATTGACTGGATATAAATAGAGTTTCGATTTACAACAATGGAGAAATATAGAGTTTCGAACATAGAGTAACAATGGACAAACACAAAACTTCGAACACAAAGTGATAATGGAGGAATACAAAGACTGTGTTTGGTAGTGCTCCCTAAACTTAATTCTACCATTACATTTGAGTGTGGTGTTTGTTTACAGTTTTCAAAAATTAACTCCACACTCATGTAACGACCCCATCACGTATAATGATTAGTACTTGATTAATTAAGGAGATTTGGAATTTAATTGCCAAGTATTATAAT